TCGCTCTGCCTGGCTGAGGAGCTGCAGAAGGGCAATAGCAAGACAAAGAACTCATTTCTTGTGCCTGCCTAGGTGAGACATTGTGCCAGATAGACAAATAAAAGTTGGGGTGGGGGAGCCTCTGCTTCTTTACTCCTGCTCTGCTCTAACAACATGACTTTTGTTTGAGTCACACAGATCCTAACGTTTTGGTCAGCAGGCAGGACCAGATGGCTTTTCCTACATGGTAGTGGTTCAACTATCACACTGCACAGATTTCACACTGAAGCCCTGTCATCAATTCACCGGCTGCATTGTGATACCCCCCCCTTGTCCCCCACTTGCTAATTAAATCACAAGAATGTTTACCAATATATAGTGATGTGCAAAAAAAAAAAAAATTTGCACAGTTGAAACATACTTCCTTTGGATCTGCACCCAACAAAATAGTTTCTCATTGCAACTATTTTATCACACTTCTCCCTTGCCTTATTTTCACACTTACACTGACACATTCTGGCACCTTTCCTTATTGTAACCCCCACCTTAGAGTAAGTGTAACTTTCCAATTTTGAACAATCTCCCTGTCCCCACCATCACTCCCAAAAGGAATTTTGGAGTCAATAGGAAAGACAGACAAAACTCAGAGAAGTGCTTTAGAAAGTATCAGCAGCGAAAAAACGACTCTAACCAAACCCTCCGGAGCTTTTAAAAAATGTATTTGGAGGTGGGGGTGGGGCACAGAGCAGCTGAAGCCGCTGTCCAGAAGCCCACACAAGCCACTCCTTGTTAGAGGCACTGTTATTTTATATTTCATTTTCAAATAATTGGTTTTCTGACTATAAAATGCATGTTCTGATGTAGAATTATAATGCTGCACACCTGAAGCTTATATTATGCCATAAACCAATGTTACTTCAATAAAATTTGATTTTAAAAGGAACACACTGTATAAAATTCAGAAAATAAAAGTGTAAGAAAGGGGGGATCAGTGTACCCTACTACCTGGAAATAGCCACTTTAACGACTTTGGTTCATCCCCTTCCATTTTATATTTATTGTCACATTCACAAGTGGGTATGTAGCATGTAAACATACAGAGACGTATAAATCCATACAAATTAAAAACATGGAAATGGGATAATCCCATTCTCCTCCATGAGATCATGAATATTTTCCTCAGCATTAGCTTTGATTTTTAATGGCTAGAATTATTTAACTCTGTGGACCTGCTCTAAGGTACTTATATTCTCCTACTATGGAAATTGTCTTCAGTTTTTCCCTATATTACAAATACCTTTGCATATACAGCTGTGCACATATATCTTGATATTTCCTTCAGAAATTATACTTTTTAAAATTAATAATGAATAAAAATTAATCCATGTTTTTCACAGAAAAATTGGAAGATGCAAAAAGTCAACCACAATTTATTTTGCAAAATTTTCTTTATACCATACACATGGACACAAGCACATATATTCAAATACAGTCATTAATAATAAAAAATACCAGTTGCTAATAATTGTTACCATGCAGTGAGTGCTTACGCCACCCAGGTATTGTGATTTTTCTCATTTAATCCTCCCAGCCACCCCTGCATTAGCTCAGCTGTTCACAAACCTGCCTGCACATTGGAGTCACCTGGGGCTTTAACCATCCCGAGCACTGCATCCTGTCCCAGACTCAGACTTAAATGGGCTGGAAGAGGCCAGAGCTTGGGAGGGTTTAAGAGATCCCTAGGCGTGGAAGTGAGGACTTTGCAGTGCACTGTTTGCTATTTTATCCCTCTTTCAAGTTGAGGATGCTAAGGTGAGTAACTTCCCAACATCATGCAGCTGCTAAAGGTGTAGCTGGTATTTCTATCCAGCTCTGAGCCAGCCCAGAGCCCAGACTTTTAACTATTGATATTTGGGATCTGTTGCCCCTCCCCATGTAACAGCATATCAAGAACCTAAGTAGAACTCTATGCTATGAGTTTAAATAATTATGGTGTTCCATTATACCATGCACTACAATGCAAGTGTTATCATTTCTCACTATAGAAAATGCTACAATTAATATCTTTATTGACACATCTTTGTGCACATCCTAAATTATTCTCTTAGGATAAACTTCAAGAAAAGGAATTGCTGGGCCAAAAGGTAAGCATGTTTTTTTTTTAAGCTTTTCATAAATATTACCAACTAACGTTCCCATGAGAAGCGTATGAGGGCGCCTTCTTCTTTGTGCCCTTTGCCAACACTGAGTTTTGTCATTCCTTTTTAATCTTTGCAAATTATAATGGAGAAGAGAGCATGCCAGTTAATTCCCTTTTCTTTGACTACAACTAAAATAGAACATTTTTCATGTTTATTAGACATTTGAGTTTCTTCTTGTACATACTTTTTTCTATTTCCATGCTTTGTACATTTTTCCAGTAAAATACTTATATTTTTCTTAATGCTCCATACATCTTTATGTATTGAGAAAATGAGTCTTGTTGCAATTGTATCTATTTTTCTCATTAATTTTATGGCTTTGTGCAGTAATTTATAATTTTCATATAGTTTATACTCATTTTTCTTTATTATTCCACCTTTGATATTATGCATATAATCTCCACTACCTCAACATTATACAATCTTCTATTTTCTAAATTCCTTTATCTTTATTTAAAAAAACTTTTAATTCTTTAATGCAGCAGTTCCCAAACAGGGCGACTCATTAGAATTGCTTACAGTGCTTCTTTAAATGCTCAGGTCTTAAAACTGAATCACAATCTGGGAGCAAGAGATCTGAGCAGGTATATTTTTAAAAAGCACCACAAATAATTCTAACACACCTCTTACTTTATTCTTTTCCCTAAGATTTTATTTATTTATGCATACAAGAACTAGAGTACAGGCCGGAGGTATGGGAGGATGAGAGGATTCACCAGAGACAGAGCAGGGAGCCAAACAGTAGATAGACCGAAAACACTGCTGAGGGGAGCAGCGGGCAAGACTGGAGAGGTCTGCTGCGCCATGTGAGAATCTCCCTGGCCAGCCGGGGATTGAACCCATGCTGCAGAAGCTGCAGACAGCTTCACAGCACTGCGCTCAACCCCCTGTGCCACCAGGGAGGCCCACCTTTTACTTTATTAAGGAACACTTGTTTTAACCCTTCTAAACCCCTGTTGGTGTCATTTTTTCAAATTATTTCAGCAACATGTCTTAAATAAACAACTGCATGACTTTGAAATGCTACATTTATGCTAGCAGGTAAGCTCCATGAGAGCAGAGACCATACCAGTTTTCACTGCCCACTGCATCTCCATGGCCCAGTACAGTGCCTGGTGCACAACTGGTGCTTAATACTGTTAATTGAATAAACAAATAAGAGCTGACAACGTAAGTGTCCAACCTCACCCTAGATTCCAAATTGGCTTCAATATTTTCTTGACCATTAGGCCAATAAAATGAATGACATTGACCTATCAAAAATATTAAATTATGCCCAGTACACTAGATCAAATGAAGTTAATAGTGGTCATATTTAAGAGGTACAGGATTTCCAAACAAATTCTCCATGCCTCCAATACTACACAGTGTTGACCAGAGAGAGACCAAGGAGACTTGGTTTCCTCTGACTAAGTTTCTCAACCAGCCCTGGAGATGACTCAGAGCTTCTCTGAGCTGAGCATAGACCCCCACGTTTCCTCTTCCATGAGCCCATGGAAAGAAAAGTAGGCAATCAGAAGACCTGAATTTTAGCCCTATTATTGCTATCAATCAACCTGTCTAACCATGAGCCATGTCACAACCTCTAGGGACGTGAAATATTGTCTAAGTCCCTTCAGGTCTAAGTCTCTGCCTAAAGATCCAAACAGACTACTTCAGGGCAACATTTTCAACTTGAAATTCCCTCCACTAGAACAGGGTCTCAGTCCCACTCCAGGCGGCCACAAAATAAGAGTGATAATAATAGTAATAGTCACAGAATAAGTGTGGGCTTAGTAATGATAGTGTTAGTAATAGTGGTAACAGCAGCAGCTGTGGCTAAATTTTACTGAGCATTTATTATATGGTACACAATATTCTAAATGCTTTGCAACTAATCACAGTAGAACAAATATATATGGTACTACGTTCCAAGAGGTTCACATATATTAACCTCACAACAAACCTATAAGGTGAGTTCTATTAGCATCCCCATTTTACAAAGGACGAAACTGGGACACACTTAAGGGACTTGCCTGAGGCTTCAACAGGAGAGGTGTATACAGACCCATCCCATACCACACCGCCACCCAAACTCATTGTCTTATGTGCGTCACTTCAGAGGTTGCACAGGACAAGGAATAAGTCGCAGTTACTTATGTGGGATAATCCCCTCTTCACTAACGCTAGAGAAATCAGGTTTTATTCCAGTGTAATTTTATGCAGATCAGATTTCAAGGCCTGAGAAAGCAAAACATATTATTTATTAAGAAAACATGACAATTTTATTAAGAATTTCTATCCATTAAAATGTTTTAATTAGAGAATAAATAAATCATTAACTACTAATGACATTTCCATTAAACAGAGAGGAAAAACACAAGCTCTTTATGCATCATTAGGAACGAAACTTAAACAAAACACCTGCACAGATTCCAGTTCCACACTTTCAAAACTGACCTCTTAACATCGACCTGACAGCCCATAGGAGTCTCAGACAAAAGAGGCCAAACTGACCTTGGGACGCTACATTCCCACCATCCCTTTGCTCTTCTTGCCTCCTCTCAGCTTCCCCACCCCAGGGGCTGGAACCCCAGACCCAAGGCACCCAAACTGGTTGTCACCTGATCTTGTTCCTTCTGTGTTCAGTCACAGAACATTTCTAGGTTTCACCCCATTTCTCTTTTTTATTTCTATTTTTTTATTTTATATATTTTACATCATTTTTCATTTTTGTACAATGTATGCATTTTCATCTTGGTTATAGTCCCCGTGAAATTCCCACCACCCATTCACCCATGATACTACAGCGAGGGAGAAGGGAGTAGTATCACCCCATTTCTCTATTCTTGCTGCCCCTGCTGGTGCTCGGCTTCTACCATCTCTTTCCTAAATCTCTATACCCACAGGTTCTTGGCTTTCATGCTCCTTGGCTCTGGCCCCACTTCAACACGGCTGCCAGTCATTTTTCTAAAACAAAATCTGATGATGTTACTTCCCAGTTTAAAATCTTTGTCTTCAGGATAAAGTGTAGACTCCCTCCTAGATATACATGGTGCCTTTTGTTTTATATCTGACCTCCAACTACCTTACCTGCTTCATCTGAATCATGTCCCACATATTGCACAGGAGGGCAACCGAGCAACTTGAAGTTCCCAAACAGCGCTTTTCTGTCTGCCCATCTGGCAAACTCCCACTTATTTTTTTCAGATCAGCTCAAAACTCAGAATTCAGCATGCTCTTCTCTGGGTTTCTAGCACCTTTTGTACCTCTCCCTATACGACACTCACTCAACCTGACACAACTATTTATTTATCTGTTTGTTTTTCCCTTAAGACAAGGATCTGTCTAGGGGCTTCCCTTGTTATGCATCTCTGTGTTCTATTTGTTGCATGTAAGAATGTTTCACGATCGAAACCAAAATATCCAAAGTGCTCCAGATACATAAATGTCCATTGTGTGAGTGGAAGTGGGCTCACAGACAGAGTCCATTTCAACAAAGATTTTTAACTTGACAACACTCATGACACTTGTGTCTACATATTTGAAGCCATAACCAACAGGAGCCAGTTTTTAAAGGATACATTAGCCCACCAAGGAACCTAATGTTGCCTATTTATACATATTTGAGCATTTTTAATACTCCTTCTAAGTGGTCCTTCATCTATTGTGGGTCACAGACCAATTTGGGTACTGTATGCCTATCATTTCTTAAATCTACACTCCCTTTGATAAACATAAAAATCCCATATAGCCCTGGAGATCCTGATACACTTCTGAAGGGCACAACCTTCACCCCACCAAAATTAACAGTGTCTTTGTATGTGGCAGAAATTCACAGTTTCATAAGAGATACACTCTATCAGGCAAGACACTACTGGGCTTTGAGCTTGTGTAATTCATGGTATTAAATCGTAAATACTGTAACATTAAATACGATTTCTCAAAATTTGTAAGTCCCAAGGAAGTCTTTATTGAGAAGAAGGGGCCAAAAAGGATCTGACATCCATCTTCCCCACCTTTAAGAATCTTATGATAGAAATTTGCTGGAAACAAATGAAAAGAACAAATATGAAAAATCCTTCATTTCCTCACATGTAACCCCCACAAGCACATGTTCAAATAAAGAGAATTCTTTGAAAATGCTCCTGGCATTACATTTTCCTGCTACTTTCTCTCACTCACCCCACCACCCCCACTTGAAAATAATTTGAACTTCTAGCTAGCAGCAACTTCTTTTAAATGAATATGATTTGTCCTTGCAAAGACAAAGGAAGGGTTAAATTAAAGCAACAGCTGGCTGCCTGCCACTGGCTTGGGGGGTTGGGTAAGGGATGGAGGATAGAGAAGGAGGAAAAACCAGTTAGAGGAATAAGTGCTCATTTCTTACCCTGCCACATGGCCATCTTGATTTGATCCTCTTTCCCAGGTTGGGGTCACTGGCTGAATTTCCTGGAGCACCCCAGTTTTGCAGGGAGGCTTGAATGGGATGTAGATGGAACAGCAGTTGTATGGTCTTGCTTTCTGCAAGATGCTCAAGGTCAGAACCTGAAAATGTAAACAGAAAAATACCTAAATTTTAAAAAATTCAAATCCTTGAAAATTATCTCCTGTCCCTCTCTGAACTTCTCTTTCAAAGACATGCAGGCACAGTAGTATTAGGTTTCCCACTAAGCAGCAAGGTATCCCTGGAGAAAGATAGAATGGGGGAGACGTAGGGTCGGTTAATATTGCCACTGAGTGCTGTCCAATTCACAGGAATCACTGGATCTTCAGTAAATGGGTTTTAGAATCTCAAAGGATGGATGGTTGGATGAGACAACCATTAAGGGTCTTTCCTACCTTGAAGTTCCACATTTTGGAGAATGAAGAGCAGCATAATATCCAATGCCCTCCCCAACCCCCCAAACACCCAACTTTACAAACATTACATTAAAAGATTAGTACAACGGAGAGCATTTTTTTAAAATACTGCAACTTTTAAAATTGATCTTGCATAGGAAAAGAAAAGAGAGGAAGCGCAAATAAAAAGTTTAGAATGATGCCCTTTAGGCCATGGGTCTTCCTCTCCCTTTATTCTTCTTTCCTACACTTTGTCAATGCCCTATAGGAAACATACATTACTTTTATAGTTGTGGGGGGGAGGGGGGCCCGCAGAGGGAACAGAGGGAGAGAATCAAAGGAAGAAAAATGTAAAAACAGAACACTAATTTAAGTAAAACCAAATTAATACAGCTACTTCTATTTTTAAAACATCAAATTCAGGCTTAGGACAACACTATTTGCAAGGATATGAAAAAAGGAATGGGAGGGAAAAAAATGAAGGGTCCTTTGATTCTGAGGTTTAATACATTAAACACTTTGTCCATTTACACAAGTTCTTGGTTAATAAGATGGTCTTCTTTATTTAGCATACAAGTCAATCTGGTTTTTCTAAGAAAAAGTTCTTTTTTGTTTTTTTGACTTGGCGAACAACAACATAGACATAGCTTTTTTTTTTTTTTTACATCCAACACCTCCCCCTCCCCCAAGTGAAAAAGCTAATGCACACACACTGAAAACTAATTCTAACTTCAAAGTAATCATTTTAGTCTTTTTGGATGACAATTTTAAAGGGAAAATGTGTACACTCGTCCCCAAAACACCAATAGAGAAAAGACAATGCTTTGAATAAGAAAAGGTTCGTGATGTCCAAGGAAACTAGGAACTCAAAAAGTCCTGGGAAATTCACAGGGAAAAAGCGCTCTCGTGACTTATCTGGAGCCTGGGACGGTTGCTTTGGTTTGCCTTCCCCCCCCCCCATTTTGCGTGCAGTTAAGAAGTACTGATCTGTGCCTCGTGGATCCAGGCGAAATTTAACATCTCATAAGTTAAACATGGGTAGATGCTTATGTATAAAGTTTACGTCAAACAGATTCTTGCTGGATTTTTATGCTCCAGAGTTCTGATTTCCCTCACTTTCTGGGAGTTAACTTACACTGACGTTAGCACGCGGGCACACGTACAACTTCACTTGGCACTCCAGGGAACTGATTTGCTCTGAAATGTGAATAAAGGTAAAAGCGCGTCAAAGTAAAGGTAAGGCTTTCCCCTTGGGGGTGAAGAAACTGAGCGCAAGCCTGGAAAGTCTGAAGAAAACCAGCTACGGGCGTTAAGCAAGCAAAGGAAAACGCACAGCAATTCCCTTCCCAAGAGTTTGCAATCCAGTTCGCTAAAACCCACTCAGACCTAGGAATCCAGATCAAGGGGGAAGAAAGGGGGCCTCGACAGAGCTTTAGCAGCCAAAGCCACCCTGCCCCAGTCCTGGAAGGGGATGCATGCAGCTAACCTTCCCCCATTCAAAAGCGGGGCGGGCTTAGGGGTGCTCCGCTAGAAAACTTCTCTGGGGGCAGCGCGGGGACTCAGGCTCGGGAACTGGGTTGGGCTCCCGGAAAGATGCCGCCTCGCACCGGCTTGAACTAGCCGGTCTGACTCCTCCGAATACCAGGCGGCGGCGGCCTGGCACGGGGAACCCCCATTTCCAGGGGGCCAAGCCTGCGGGGGGAGCGCTTCCCCTGTGTCGCTGCACTCAGGGGGTGGGCCGGGGGCCAGTGGCCCACCAAGGACCTGTTGGGAAAGCGACAGCCCATCTGTGGTTACCTGTCGCCGAGGTCAGAAGCGGTGGAACCCGTGTCCGCCGCCGGCGGCCCGAGCGCTGAGTCGGTTCTGGCGTCCAGGACACTAAGTTGAGCTAGCGCCCCACGTAGCCGGCAGAGCTTCATTCACAGCCCAGCCGGGAGGAGGGGGAGCGGAGCGGGCGCGCGGCTCATGTGACAGGAGCCTCGTATCGGCTCAGCACAGCCCACGTCTGCGCGTGCGCACCCCGGCCAGCCCTGTCGGCACCTCGACCCAGCCGGGGAGGGGGTGATGCCACATAGGGAGGTGGCCATGCGTAGAGAGCTGAACTGGAGAAGGTGCGGGGAGGAGTTTCCGTGCGCGCAAGCGCAGTAGGTTAGCCCTGCTCGCTGCCATATTTAATGAGGACTGGGCGGGTCCTAACCAAGGGCTGGGCGCGTCCTAAGTCAGTACCGGGCGGGTCCTAATCAAGTGATGGGCGTGTCCAAACCCAGCGCTGGGCGTGTCAATTGCTCTTGAGAAAAGAAATACTCCACTGTTTCATTGTTTCGAGCCTGTCGTGCGTTTTTTTCTTTCGGTTCTTAGAATGATACTGTTTATCCTCAGCTTCTAGCCCACAGAATAGTTAGTAGTAGGCGATCTCATACTAATTACATTAGCTAACTAAGTTTCAGCCTCTAGCTATATTACAGGCACTGTTATAAGCACTTTACTTATTTAATGCCCACGATAAGCCCACTGGAGTACCTACTAATAAAACTAGTCCACTTTAATTCCTAAGAAATAATACGAATTATCATAGGAGCAGGAAGAGTGATCTAGTATAGTGACGCTTTAAAAGTCAACTTTATCCTCATAGCAATATTGAAAAATCTACACTGCAGTTTTTAGATTTTGTCTCCATTTTAATCATTACAGAACAAAGGATAGAAAAGCAAATGTCACAGCCCTGGTTAGTGGTAGAACTGGGATTCCAATCTATGTCTACCTGACGCCAAAGCCGTTGCCCTAGATTGGAAGAAACAGGACCTGTTTTGCAAAAAAGAAAAAAAAAAGTCAAATAGGTTGTGTTGACTTACTTAAGATAATACCCTAATTAATTATTGGCAGAACTGAGGCTGCAAGTCATATAATCATTCTAGTACTCTAACTAGAACCCCAGCATTCTAATTCAGAGTTGAAAGAATTCAACAATTTTAAAAATCTATATTGGATAAGCTAAGTGGTCAGGAATATGAAAACAATATCCTAGCTCAATCAGAGTAAGACCACCAAGCACAAACCTGTAACCTGAAAAATGAGGGGGTTTTGACCCACTGCAGTGAAGGAGGCCACACACCAGAGAGAAACTGACATCTCACCATCAAAGAAAAAGTTTTGGATTTGGGACAAGGGTGGAGTTTAGGTAAATTTTAAATAAAGTGTTGTTTTGCTGTTGTGTGAAAGGGTCAATAACAGGTCTGAACTTTGAAGTGAATCCAAAGTCCTGTTTCCTTAGGAACCACAAATTAAAGACCTATGGAACATTGTATCCAGATACCCCTTCATCTGAAGCTGGGTATCTACCTGGGTTGGAAATTGAGGCCGCTTCTGTGTCCAATAAACTTATGTCTCCCCAAGCAAAAGTGGAATGTGATTTCAAGTAGCAAAAATTCTCATAGTCTATTATTGTAGAGAATAAAATTTCTCCATGAATTAAAAAAAAAAGTGGGTGTCCCCCAAATAAGGGGGTTGATTTCACATTACAGCTACAGTGGGTCTCTGGGAAAAACACTGTCCCCAGCTGACTTTATCTGTTATACCAATTTTTTGAATAGTCAGATTTTTGCTTTCTCCGGCAAGCTAATTTTTACTTTCTCGCCTGGTAATGTTTAGTTCCTGCCTTTGGGTACTCAAACTGTATGGGCAAATGAATGGGTGGATGACAGCCACACATAAGAATGTGGGGCAGATTTCACCGAGTCCTCTGATGAAGGTAAATCCAAGTGGAGGTTATATCTTGTGCCACGGTGTAAGGCAGGAGGTCACAAAAGAGGACTATAAATAGTCTTGTGTGGTTGAAACTTAGGGTAGGGAAATGGAGAGGAGTTGTGGATGATAGTACCAGAAGGTAAACTAGGACCCAATTTTTGGAGTATTGTGGATGTTGGACTGAGATTTTTACTTAAGGCAGAAATTAATTGAAAATGAATTAAGGTTTTTGAGCAAGACAACCCTATTATTGGAACTCTTATTGCAGAAGATAAATATGGGATGATAATTCAAGGAAAGGTTTGTTTGTCTTGTCATTACAGGATAAGAGAAACCATAATTTAATTATAGATTGAGCAGGAAGAACCACTGGTGAAAAAGAATTTGAAGCAGCAAAAAAAGAGGGGATAAATAATGGAGTGAAATACCAGGGGAGATAGAAATGAGATGCAAAATACAAGCTAATCGTGGGAAAGATGCTCCTTCCTCCGAAAGGAAAAAGAGTGGCTGAAGAGCAGAAATCTGTTTGGAATCTGACTTTGCATGAAGCTACCTCTGTAGAGTACACACTGACTTTTTTTGGCATATAAATTGATTTGGGAGAGCTTGGGCACAAGTGGTTTATGGAGAGTATGAGAGTGCTGCAGTAGCTCCATATGACCACTCGGTGTCGCCACTGACCGCTGACAGGTTGGATGGCTCATGTATGGAATTTTTCGGAGTACATATCAAGAAAGAAACTCAGCAACAACAAAGAAAATAATCCAGTCAAAAAATGGGCAGAAGAGCTAAAAAGAAACTTCTCTGAAGAGGAAATGCAAATGGCCAACAGACATATGAAAAAATGTTCAACATCACTTGTAATCAGGGAAATGCAAATCAAAACTACCATGAGATACCATCTCACACCAGTGAGAATGGCACATATTAAAAAAACTAGCAACAACAAATGTTGGCGAGGATGTGGAGAAAAAGGAACTCTTGTGCACTGTTGGTGGGAGTGCAAACTGGTCCAACCACTATGGAGAGCTGTGTGGAGATTTCTGGACCTACTAAACATAGAGCTTCCATATGATCCAGCAATTCCACTCCTAGGTATTTACCCAAAGGACACAGAAACATCAATTCCAAAGAGCACCTGCACTCCTATGTTTATAGCAGCACTGTTTACAATAGCTAAGCTTTGGAAACAACCCAAATGCCCAAAAATAGATGACTGGATCAAGAAGATGTGGTACATATATACCATGGAATATTACTCAGCATTCAAAAAAGATAAACACATGCAATTTGCAGCAACATGGATGGCACTGGAAGGGATCATGCTCAGCGAAATAAGCCAAAAAGAAAAAGAAAAATACCGGATGGTCTCACTCATAGCAGGAATCTAGAAAACTTAAATAAGGGACCAGGAAAATGAATATAAGAAAGTGAAAATCAAAATCAACAAAAAACTATGAACCAGAGACACTTTTTGGAGGGTGGGGGGCGGGAGGGGAAGGATTGGGGTCAGAATGGGGCGTTTGCAATTGTATGGGGGAATATAAAAATAAAATTTAATATTTAAAAAAAAAAAAAATAAGACAGGTTAAAAAAAAAAAAAAAAAAAAAAAAAAAAGAAAGAACATCTTACCTCTCGCAAGTGCAAAACAAAACGTTAGACTCCGGAGCCATACTACGCGAGCGTAGAACTCAGACACTTACTAGCTGTGTCACTTCATTTGAATTACCAAATTTCACTCTCCTTCAGGTACTTATCTATAAAATGAAACCAAAATAAAATGTATTCATAGATTTAAAACAGTTAGAAAAGATTAAACGCTCAATAAATGTTAGTTAGCATTACTACTGATGATGATGCTGAGAACTACAATGATGACTGCTAAGGCCCCTTCAGACTTTAGATACCCACGTTTTAAAGGAGCTGCTTGTGTAGTAAATACTTACCCGATACCGTTCCTAGTGAAGTGGTTAGAGTATGGTGCTACTAAGGCCAAGTTAATCATTTCATTAAGATTCCAACTTTAATGATTCTTTCCGCTTTCTCACGGCCCAGGCCACACTCCAGGGAACTTTGGCCAGGTGTTCCCCAAGGTGTACACATAGGTTACAAATGGATCTGACCTAGAGAATGTAGATCAACATAGAAATGTCCTCTGCTCTCAGTCCCCTCTCTTGGGAAAAATTGAAAAGCTGCTTCCACCCCTTGCTCCCACAGTCGGCAACAGATTTTTGGTCAAAAGCTATTTCAACTTATACAAAGCAAAATGTATACACAGTGTGGTGACCCTAAAAGTTAATTGTAAAGAAAGAATAAAACACTGGATCTCTTTGTATAATAAAAGGTAGCACTTTAAAGTTTGCAAAAGTAAACTCTCCAGAGCAATAACAAGTCACGGTGATGCCTAAAATGTCCTGTCTAAAGCAGCTTTATCTTTAATTTTGAAATTGTCATAGGAAATAGAGGCTGAAATATATGCATGAATACCTGGCCATGTAAAGAATGAGTGAATGTTTCTGGCAGTGTTCGTATATATTTGCTCCACATTTTGTTTCAGCCCATACTGCTGTTCCATGCACTGTGTTAGCCCTGAGGGATACCAGTTTTAAAATAAAATATCTGGGAGTCCCAAAAAATGCCTGGCATAGTCCTAGAAAAATGAGAAAGAATGAAAGGAACTATACAGAGTTATCCAGTTCAGGGTACTCTACAGAGACAGTATATTTAGAAAATTCTGAAAACAGAGTGATCTAGAATCATTTGTAAATAAACGTCCTGTACCTAGAGAACTGAGTATCAAAATTAACAAATGATCTCTATATCTAGAAAGGTACCTAACCTCATGATTGGAGAAATACTCTGAAAAGTACAGTGAGATATCATTGGTAAAGCATCAAAATATTGATAATTTCCTGTGTTGAAAAAGATAGGGGGAGGAGAGTCCTCTAATAAATCACTGATGGGAGGGCAATTAATTGATGAAGGGCAGTTTTGCAGGGACTATAAAAATAACAAGTATATGACTTTGCTCCCAAAATTTCATTTCTAAGAATTTCTCCTTTGGTTATGTTTGCTGGGTGTGTAAACTATAGTGTGTATAAAGTTATTCACTGTTGCACTATTTGCTATTTGTAATAACAAAAATGAAAAACAACCAGATGTCCACCAGGAGGAGACAGATCAAATAAATAATGATATATCTATCCAATGAAAAAAGAAATGAAAAGCTCTTTTTGCACTTATATGTAAAATTCCCTGTGATACAATGTGTGAACAAAGCAAGATGCAGAGCTGTGTACTTCCACAATTTGTGCCATGGAAATGT